TTTAATTGTTTCAAGTGAATCCAAATCCAAATCATGATCTTGATTATCATGTTTCCAACAATTTACTACAATCTAATCACGCACTTGATTATGATTATACTGTAAATTGTTGTTGCTGTTGTTGGTACTTGTTTGATTATCTTAAATTGTGCTAATAATTATTTTACTGACCTTTGAATGATAATTACTCAATCTATTATTGATTAACTATCATTAAAATTACCATTGATTATTTCATTGATGATGAATTAAACTAACTATTCAATTAAATCATCGCTCTACCCAACACAATAATTTAAACCTTTTTCTTAATCATGATCATCAAATGAATGGTGATGTTAAATCAATTTGTCCGGTCCATTGAGTTTAATTATAATTATAATAATGATTAAATTGAGTGATGATTATAATCAGGTAATTGTTATCCAATTATTACAATCAATACAATCGGTGTGTGTATGTGTATATTACCTTGATTCAATTGAATTTAATCAACAAAAAAAACTTAAAGACTTTGATGATGATGATGATGATGATTACGTTTATTATTTTAATGATTAATTGAAAACCGATTGAGATTTGCTCTAATTATCTGATCAGCCATAATTAATTAGAGGGCCAATAATGGACATACTTATAGCAATTTAATGACAATCAATAAAATTGATTCTTTTGCCTTCATCATGAAAGTAAACAAAATATTACAAATCTTATTGAAGAAAAAAAAAGTTTGTTCAAATGATAAAATCAATCAATTGAAAACTATTAATAAATATATCAGGTAATTGAAATAACATTTTAATAGTTTTCTGTTTCCGGTGTATGTATAATTTTAATTTAATTGGGCTGAAATATTATCATGAAACAAGGATGATAATTAAAGGACAGAGAGATTCAAGTTTACAGGTAAACCTGGTTTTCTTATACAAAACCAGGTAAATGGTTTCAGTTAATTGCTTCTCAAAGTGGACAACTTTTTACAAGGAGAAAAAAAAAGTTGAGCCCAAATTGGCTTTGAAATGTATTATACAAAAAAAGACATAAAGTTTACCTGGGCTTTTGGACAAGGGAAACACTTAAATGCCCTTAGGGCAACCGAATCTCTTGTCATCTTTCAACTTTTGCAGAAACTTTTGTGTTTCTTCATCATCATCTTCTTTCTTATCATCATCAACATTTACCTTTTCGCCCAAACCCTGGACAGATAACCTTATATTTAACAGAAAACCAATGACCTGGGCCACTTTTACCTTCACCTTGAAGGTCAAATATTCACCTTAAGTTATCCTCATCTATCATCTCTTTCTTTCTTTCTTTCTTTCTGATTTTTTATTCCAATTGAAAGTTTTGACAATTTATTGAGGAAAATACAATAATCGTAATGATTAGTTAATTGTTTCTTTATGATTATTTTTTTTTGTTCACTCGTTTCAAATTTCGTCAATTGTTCAAACACTTTGACTCACCTAAAGCTCATCAATTTTACTGTTGAGTATTTCCCCTGTTTCCCTGAACAGAAACAAAACTTTTAAAGTGCTAATGGTGATTATAATTCATCAGAATGATTAACTAACATTGTATTAAATTATTGTTGTCGTTGAGTAAAGTTTGTCATTTACAATGGAACATGTTTCTCATAACAATAAAACCATGAAGGTTAGTTAATTGTTGATTAACATTAATTGCTTTGAAATGAGTTTCCTGTAGAAACCTTAAATTGTCAAGTTCAACCATCATCACTAATCATCACAATTTATCATTTACTTAGATGTCACAAATTGTTTGACCTTAATTGAATATCAATCTATTAATTCATTCATTCATTTAATCTAATTGTTCATTAGCCATTTGGCCTAATCAAGTTTGTTAACAATTTGGCAATCAATTAATTGACAAACTCTTGCGACTTGGCAACTAATTTAAATCCAATCAATTAGTTTATATAGTATTTAAGTTTTAATTGTAATCAAGGCTAATTGTCAACTGATATTATATTAAATGGTATTGATTGTTGTTGTTGTTGTTGCTAATTTTCAAATCACAATATTTTAATCAATCATTGATTTCATTGATTATAATTATGATTAACCTCTTGGTTTTATCATATTACAAATCAATCAATGATTTAAATTGATTGTTGAAAGGAAAATTTAATAATTTGATAAACAATTAAGGTGTGCTTTATGTTTATGATTAGCAGTATGATTTAGATTGGGAAAATAATAATTAGCACAACAATCAAGGTTTAACAAACTTTACCAATGATATTTAATATCAACCAAATCAGATCATTAATTGTAATCAAAATTCAAGGGATTTGTTATGGTAACAAGTTAAACAGCTAAAATCATATTGATTAAATTAAATTAAACCTAATTGTAAATAAGTTCAGTTAATTGTTTACTATTTATCGTAACAATCAAATGTTGATCAAGTATCAAAAACCATACAGGTTATCATTGTAATCCACAATATGTATTAAGGTTAATTTAAATTAATCACAGTTAACGGGGAAAAAAAATCACAATACAATTTAAAAACCTATCGAATGACAATCAAAATTAAACTAAATCAAGGATAATCGCAAGTTTAATTGTTGGATGATAATAGATGGGAATTAATCAACAGAAACAACATTGATTGTGTTGATTTAACGATTATCCTTGAAAGTAAACAAAACAATTACAATAATAGATGAAAATATCAATGAGTACGAAAATTTAATTTTCCAATTGATTGTATTTAAATTGTGCTTTAAATTGTTCACCGTTAATTCAGTTATGAAGTAAATAAATAGTTTGTCACTAATTGTGATTTACTAAATCAAATAAGTTAATCACTTTTCACACCCAAACGTCAATGAAATCCAATAATAATTACTAACCTTCGTTGGGACGATATGATTGTTTTTTATTATTTCTCGTTTAAATTGTAACCTTGGTAATGATTAGTTTTGGTTAAATTGAGTTGATCATTAATAACAATTTAAATGGTTCCAATTGATTGTTGATCATTTACTGATCATGATATTTATTACTTGTCATTAGATTATGTTGATTATTGTTCATTAAACATCAGTATCATTTGTCTCAACAATCAAACTTTGATGTACAATAAGATTAATAATATTAATTGAGTTGATTAAATTGTTGTTTTTCTAATAACAACAACAATTAATCTAATTATCGGATCTGTTAATCGTGGGAATGTATTAACATTGAGGAATTAATTTTTCTTAATCAGCTATAGTGATTTAATTTACTTTCTATCGTGTGTATGTGTGAGTGTTAATTAAGAGGCAAGGAATTAAAGAGAAGAGAAAAAAAAAATTAAATTCTAAATGAAAAAAAAAAGATTTCGATTCTATTTGATTAAAGGAAGATAATTAACTGATTGTTATCAGTTAATTTTAACGATAATAATCATCACCATAAGTAACAATTTAAGCTCTTGATTAGCTTGAGTTTTTGTTTTCACTCATTAACAATCTTAATTAAGAAAACAAAATGATTGATCAAAATCGGTGGATTCAAGAAAAGCCAATTAAACAGTTAATTGTTACTTTAAATTGTCTACTGATTGTAATTACAATTTGCATTTTTTACTCTTTCATTTGCTGCTGTTTCTTTGTTTTCATAATCAAGTTAATTGTTTCATTTGATTTGATTGGGTAATCAATTTTATTGATCACTGATTGTCGGGTTAAATTGCTGTTAATTAACAAGGTGTGGTAAACCCAAGTAACAATTAATAAAATCAAATATATATTAAATCAACCTTAATATTAATGATTATTGTTATGATGAAACTTTAATTGTTATTGTCAAGTTGATTGTGCCATTGATTTGACAAAGTACGGAAGATGATTTAAAATAGACACTATGATGAATTTGATTGCTTATTTTAGCTAATCAAGGTAACAATTAACGTTAATTTCATGTTGAGAATCAGTGTGAACCTTGATTGTTTAGAATAATATATAAATTGTAAACAATGTGAAACAATTTCATTGATTGTTATCAAAATGGAAACATTTAAATCACCATTCAGTTAATCAAGTACTAAATTCATTCGTGAACTAATTACATGATTTTCTGATTTTCTCTCTGGCATCAGGTTGATTTTGAGTTTACCTTTACCTGTGGAGGTAAAGAAAAAAGTGAAACAGGTAAGATGAAGATGAGATTAGATTTTTAGGGATGAAAAGAAGGTCAGGGACAGAGAGAAGATGAAGATGATGAGAAAGAAAGAAAGAAAGAAAGAAAGAGAAATGCGAAAGAAGATCCGGGAACCGGTAAAAAAAAAGAAAGAGAGTGAAAGGTATTAGGCCAAATGATGAAGAAGATGAAGATAAAAGAAGATGATAAGTGTATTTGAAGATAAAGAAAGATTTTGGTTCTTATATTTACCTTGTTAAGCCCCGAGGGTCAAGAAGAAAACGGCAAAGAAATGTTATATTAGCGATGATGGAGAAAAAAATAAGATAGAAAAACTTTTCGTGATGACTAAGCTCTCTCTCTCTCTCTCTCTCTCTCTCTCTTCTGGATCATCTTCTCTTTCACTCTTTCAACCTGACAGGGAAGACCACCTAGACTCACGTTCCAAGGTTGTAACAATATTATGGATGATGCAAAATTTGGTAATTATGATAATAATAAAAGGAGAAAGATGATAATTGTGATGATGAAGGAAAATGAAAGAGGATAAAGAGAGATGATGATGAGATTTTGATGTATCACCCATTCAAATGGCCATTATTATGGTCAATTGTTTACATCATCAAATTTTTCTCTATGGTTTCTCTTTGTTAATCAACAAAGCAAAAGTTCAATCAAATCATTTATCGTAACCATAATCATCATTATCATCATCAAGGAAAATCATCATCTACATGAAAAGCGAAGAGGAAAAAAAAATATAAAAAAACGATTAAGAATTAAAAAGAACCCACCAGGTGGCGCTCGAAGTTTTTTTCCTCCAAAATTTGAGTTTGAAAATTTTTCTTTCAGTTTGATAAACAGAAACCTGAGAGTAAAGTTGTTGTACTCTGTTGGTTGTGTCAACTTTTAACAATAACAATCAACCAAATAGTTAAAATCTATTCAAATTAACAAAATTGTTCAAATGATAATCAATTAGTCTTGTGATCAATTGTGACGAAACATTAAATAATCAACAGTTTCCAACATAAAATACAATTGAAACAAAAACCTTCACTTATTGTTTGTTGTTGTTGTTGTTTTGTTTTCTTACCTCAACCGATTATCTTATTGTTTAATTTAATCTGGATTAAATTGTTCACTAACTGTTTTATTTGTTTTCAATTCAATGGCTCCCAATAGACGATCTGTTCCTACCTCATTGTCACTCTCTGATTCATCTGATCCTGAATCATGGGGATCGCCAACAATTAACAATCATAACAACAATAGTAACACAAATATTGGTAAAGTTAAAACGTTAATAACAACAACGAGTGAAATTGTCAATGGTTCAACAAATGGACACTTTAATGGTAATTCAAATGGACACTATGTTAATACAACCATTTTCAACACTCGTAATCATATTAACAGGATACAAGTTAACAGTTCCAATGATTGTGTTACTAATGATAAAATTAATGGCAGTGTGAATGTTTCATCATCATCATCATCAACAACAACAATTACAACAACAACAAACTCATCATCCTCATTAAATCATAATCATCATCATCAGCATCGTGAAAACAATATCAATGGTAATCATGATCAACATCCTTGGAAAAATTGGCCTAAAATTGATTTGATTAGTTCAATTGATCCATTTGAATCGAGTGATTCAATGATTTCAGCATTCGCTTGTGTTGCCCATGTGATTAATAGTGATTCAGCAAATGAAGAAGAAGAAGATCAAATTGATGGAGATAATGAGATTATTAGAATTACTGGTGATAATTCAGAAAATGGAAACGATGATTATGATGAAGATAATGGTTCATACGATTCGTCTAATCATCCTAATTCATTGGAATCACCGGAAAATTACCGACCCATTCATAAACCACAATCACTTGTTGTTGATTATAAAAGTAACAATGATAAAATTAACAGTAAATTAAATGGTAAATGTTCAATTAACGATAAATACATTAACAAATCTGATCAAGTGAACACAATTAAACCTTCACCACCTCCGCTATCAACAATACCTCGTCCATTACAACAACCACCTCCACCTCCAGTCTCATCATCATCATCATCATCAACTAAATCAACGATAATTACAACACCAACAACTTCATCAACACTTTTCCCTAATCAAATTAACTCACCTACATCAAAATCAACTATTCCTTCAAACTGTTCATCAATTACAACTCCAATAACTGCCAAAGATCATCTTTATGAGACAATCTATCCATCCAATATCCGACTTACCAGAGAATCAAAGTATTTTTCTGATTATCAGAATTATCGTTCAATTCTGAGTCACCATATTGAATCAGCTTCATCGTCACTGAATCCAACCACCAATGGACACACCTCTATTAAAGTAAATCAATCTAATCCTACCAACGATAATCCTAATCATTCAGCTTCCATTGATCTGATTAACTCAAAAGATAACAAAGAAATGGTTCGAAGAGCAAATTATTCATCATCCCCATCATCATCATCATCATCGCCATCGTCATCATCAATTACAGGTAGAAACAGTTATAAAAATGTTACTGGACGATTATCAACATCGTCAACTGTCAATCAATCATATAATCAAGTAAAATCAATTCAATATAATCAAAATCAACGGACAAAACCACAATCATATAATTATCATCATCCACATCATCAGCATCATCTTCCTGGTCATAGTAATTCAAGTTCATTGTATAAACCATCATTATCTTCATCTTCATCATCACTAATGTCTCCACCTCCACCTTCATCACCTTCACCAATATCACAATTAAATCAAGGTGATCATAATCAACGATTGATGAAAAAATTATCAGACAATTCATCATCACTGAATAATAACAACAACAGCAACAGTAACAATAATAATAATAATTATTATCATTCATCATCATCTAAATCATCAACAATTAGCAGACCAACATATTTAAAATTTAATAAATCAACTAACCAGTTATTTGATGAAGTTGATGGTAAACTAATTAATAATAATAATCCACAACCTTCAACAATTGGAAACAAAGTTACTAATGAAAAATTACAATCAACACAAATCAGCTCAATTGATAATATTAATAAGGATAAAAATGTTGACAATCAAATTGAACAACAAACAATTAAACTTAAACCTGATCAAGTTTATCCAAATTCAATTAGTATACCGATTATATCTCGAGCCAATGTTAGATCAACGGAAGAATATGCAACAATAATTAAAAGCCGATCAATTAACTCGATGAAAAGTTCAACCTTAACTCCATCATCACCAATCAATAATGAAGAAATTAAATTGCTATCAAAAGATGATTCCAATTTAATTTCAGAATCAAAGGGTAAACAATCAATTGAATCACCAATGTCTCTAAATTCATTGTCTTCACTATCACCAACAAATTCACCATCAACATCATCAATTGGAAATAATTTAATTGAAACAAAGCACAAATCAATCAAATCTAAATCAAAGGATAAATCATCTGGATCACCTTTATCTCAATCATCTTCATCATCATCTCGATCATTTTTCTCAAGATTTTTCTCATTAACTCATGTAATCTCACGAACCTTTAGCGTTGAGAAGATTGATAAACACCATCGATCGTTAAACGATCATGGTAAAGGTACTAATCTAATCAAATCCGCTGTTTCCACGCCAGCGTTAACATTTTCAACTCGATCAAATACTTTGCTCAACGATCTCAATGGTAACAACAATCAATTCCCCTCGACACGAACTTTAATTGATTCACCGACTGGAAGTTATAACAATCAAGAGACAATCGAACCCGTTTCGTTAACAACATCAAATTCTGGTTCTAAATCTCTACAAACCAAATCGTCTTCATCCTTTGTTCGAGCTTTTAAGAATCGATTAAGTCTTCGGCGAAGTCGACGAAAGGTCAAAGTTAAAGTTGATGTTACTCGAACCAAATCAGATCCAAGGTTAGTAAATTTACTAATCACAATTAATTGTTCTCAGATAATTTCTAATTGTTCAGATTGTTTCAGAATCTTTTTTTTTATATATATTCTTTATTATTTATCATTTATCTAAATTGAATTTACTATTATCATCCAAGAGTTTAAACAAAAGTGATTAGGAGACAATTTAATTGATTAACAATCAAACTTGCCAGTGAACTGATTAACTATTAGATTGACATTTTGTGTCTGAAAAAACAACATACAATCTAATACAACATTAGTGTATTAAATTACTGTAATCTAATGATAATTTATAAATTGTTACTACACAAAAAAAAGTACACAAAGGTTAGAGTTAAATTGTGACAATTTAATTTTTTTTTGGCTCAAACAATAATCAGTTTAATGACAGTTAATACAACCTAACCCATCATCTTAATTATCATCAATTTCATTTTCATCTTTAACTTTTACTTTTGTGAAAATCATGATAATTGTTAACAATTAGAAAGAGCTGGCAAAATAAAAAACAATCATGGTAATCAAATTGTAGCACTTTTTGATTACCTTGACAATCAGATTAATTATTCATTTCCTGTCCAAACTGAATTAAGTTTCCGGTTACTATTAGTTGTTATCTTAATGACGACAAAAAAAGTTCAATTGTTTGATAAATTTATCTTTAATTACATATCGTAATTAGATCACAATTAGAACTTTTTTTTCCAACAACCAATGGTCAAACTTTTCTAAATTGTTGATCAATTGTAATTACACTTTTTTTAATTTTCTATCATCTAAACTCATTGATTTAATTGTGATTTTTTGACTTCTTTTCCAGAGTAACTAAAAGTAATCGATACGAAGATGACAAGATGATTCCAAAACAATCAATGAAAGAGGAAACGATCCATGGGTCAATCGTTGCAACGAATTCAGGTGACCACATGAAAATCGTTGAGATTCATCGTCCTCAAGGTAAACCTTTCGGATTTTTTGTCGCCGTGGAACTGTTAATAACGTTAAAGGTTAGTTAATCAGCTTAATCATATCTCGCTAATTACTCATCAATTGAATTCATTTAATCTAATCAATTGTGTTTTCCTTTTAACAATCAGGTATTTTCATCTCAAGAATTGATTCCAATGGAGAGAAAGCCTTTCAGGGATTACTTGAAATCGGTGACAGATTAATTGAAATTGATGGAAACGATGTAACCGAAGCTTCAGTTATCCAAGTTAATCAATTGATGTCAAACAAAACTAAATTAACTCTCAAGATTGTACCTTTCAGCGTGATTTCTGATACAACGAAAACCGGATAATAACATGATTATAATCATTCAATTCCTTTAACCATTACAATTAAAATGTCACATGTATATCCAATCAAACATAATACATGTTGATAGTTGTTGTCATTTTAGTTTGTTTATTAATCGTTTTTACAATTGTAATACTTTGATTGTCCATATTATCAACACACAATTATCTTGATAATATATAAATTGTTTACTACTATTGTTGTTAAATTTTTACAAATCAACTTTGAAAAGTTTCATATTATTAATTGTACTTGTATCATAATCTTAAAAAAATATTTAATTGTGAAAACTTTTTAACTTTGTAAAACTTAATGTTAACTGTTCAATGAAAATCGACCCAATTGTTAATCGTGATCTTTGAATTTTCACAATATTCTTTATTTAGAAAGTAGATTGATAAACATCCATAGTGACGAGAAAACTGATTAGTAGGTTTTGATTGAGAAATAATTAAGAAATTGTATCAAATTAAAAAAAGAAATTGAAACAAATGTATTTATATTAACGGTCCCTTCCAATGACGCATAGTCAGAACTGAGATCAATGTTTTCATGTGGAGATTTTTAAATCATTTGTTGACAATTTTTGGTGTTGATTGTTTGTGTTTTAATTATTAGCTTTTTGTTGTTAGCTGAATAATTATGCCAAATATCAAAGTGTTTAGCGGTTCATCTCATCCTGATTTGGCTCAGAAAATTGGAGAACGACTTGGAATTAATTCTGGTAAAACTGTTCTAAAGAAATTCAGTAACCAAGAAACTTCGGTTGAAATTGGTGAAAGTGTTCGAGGTGAAGATGTTTACATAATACAATCGGGTTGTGGTGAAGTAAATGATCACCTAATGGAACTTTTAATCATGATTAATGCCTGTAAATTTGCATCAGCTGCTAGAGTTACGGCTATTCTACCATGTTTTCCTTATGCTCGACAAGATAAAAAGGATAAATCTCGAGCCCCAATTAGTGCTAAATTAGTGGCCAACATGCTTTCAGTGGCTGGAGCAGATCACATAATCACCATGGATCTTCATGCAAGCCAAATTCAAGGATTCTTTGATATTCCTGTGGACAATTTATATGCTGAACCAGCGGTATTAAAATGGATCAGAGAAAACATTCCCGATTGGAAACAATGTGTAATCGGTTAGATTCACTTTTCTTTCCTTTGCATTTCTTTATTTTTTTTATTCTTATTATGATCCTAATTGTTATTCTAATTTGATTTTAGTCTCTCCTGATGCTGGTGGAGCAAAACGAGTTACATCAATTGCCGATAGACTAAATGTGGATTTCGCTTTGATCCACAAGGAAAGGAAAAAGGCCAATGAGGTCGCTTCCATGACCCTTGTAGGTGATGTCAAGGATAGAACAGCCATTTTGGTTGATGACATGGCCGATACTTGTGGGACCATTTGCCAAGCAGCTCAAAAGTTAAGAGAAGCTCAAGCGTCTAAAGTTTATGCGATCTTGACCCATGGGATTTTCAGTGGTCCTGCGCTACCAAGAATTAATTCAGCTTCATTTGAATCTTTAGTTGTTACTAATACCATTCCACAAGAAGAGAATATGAAAAGATGCTCAAAAATTCAGGTACAATATTCAATCTCTTATTACCACATTTTCTTTTCTTTTCTTTTCTTCTCTTTATCTTGTTTTCTCAATGACATTGAGATATTCCATCTCATCTTAGTGATAATCATTGAGCAAAAAAGAGATAATCACTATGAAGATCCCTCCGATTCTTATTCTGATTAATTCAATTAACATCATCTTTATCTTTCTATTTCTATTTCTATTTATATAATATTCTAGTGTATCGACGTTAGCATGATCCTTGCCGAAGCCATCAGGAGAACCCACAATGGTGAATCTGTCTCTTATCTGTTCAGTCATGTTCCCATGTGAGATGATATTATTAAAGAAATTGTGTTAAAATCACCAATCAAATTAGATTGACAATCGAGAAATCAAATCGAAATATATTATCATCTTAATATTGTAATAATAATAAAGAGAAAACAACAATCAATTCAAATTTGACCAACAACACAAACCAAATTGTTCGTTATATTATTAAATATTAATAGTTAATTAAAATCTAATCCATCTCAACAAGATTTATCATCTAATCAAGTAAACGATTCAAATTCATTACTTTTATCATCGACTATCCATAATTTCAATGTTTCAATCTCAGTTTCATCATCAAGAGATCAAAAGACTCAAGGATTATCTCCTTTTCCATCATTAATCAAGATTTATGATCAGATCTTGCTAGAAGATTAATTGATTAATTGCTTTTCTATCTGATTGCTAATCAGCGATAAATTAAACTTGTTTCTTTCATTAATTCAACTAGTAGTTTCGTTCTAAGTCCATGGTCACCATCAACAGTTTCCCAATTCCAACTTCTAGTGTAATGAAGGAAAATATTAAATTTAGAACCAAATATGAATTCAATTAGTGATTAAACTTGAACTTCTATTAAATCACTACCGATAACATGAGAAAATATATTCATGGTGACAAAACTTTTCCAATTTATTATCAGTCAAGTTTTTTTTTTCATCTACTTCTCGGTTCATATGATTTTCATATTCCTTTGAGCTTGACTAATGCATCAGAATATCTGATTAGTTGATTGTAGAGATAAAATTTGGCCGATTTAAGTTGACATTAATGTTTTGTTTTCTTTCATTATTAATAACAAATATAAAACTATTTCGTTACTTACCTTTGGTTAATTTTGTATTGGAAAAGTTTGATAATCAGATGGACTCAAGCAAATTGCCGAAAGTTGGTTATTCATTTTGGTCCTTTAATGGTCAAAGATGAGAGACCGAAGCAGCTCTTTAAGTCGAGAGAAATGAATTGATGGTCACATACCCAACGGGTGAATTATGGAATCTATTGTAAAGGATAAGAAGAAGAAGAAAAAAATTCATATTGTCATTAGTTGATTAGTGATTATAATCAAGTCTATGGATTAAGACTCGAACTTTAAATGAACTGTAATTGCGGTTCACGAAACAGTAAAAAAATGAGAAAATGAGTTTACCAATGTTATCGATTGTTTGGTGAATATTCAGAACAATTAGTCAACATAATTGGAATTGACATCAATTGGGAACAAATCGATTGGCAATCACTTAACCATTTACACGGAAATTTGTTGTTACCGATTTTTGCTTATCCAGGAAGAAAAGGAAAACCTTAGAAACAAAAATTCGGAAGTTTTTCTGGTTCTCAGCCAATCGCCTTGTTCATTTTTACATGACAACATCTCAATAGAACATAAAGAGAATATCAATTGATCAATTAATGAGAGAGAATTAAAATTTTCCTCTCTAATTAAAAATTCAAATTTTGAGATAAATAAACAAAGGAGAAAGTCACATGATCGAGTTACATGTGATTCTCCCCCAAATATATTAATTTACATTCGCTAATAGAGAGACCAAATTAATGAGAACAATTTGTTTTCTATTCTTTTTTATTATCTGGAATTGAATTCGATTAGTTAATTGATTGTTTTTGTTTTCGTTTCAGGAGCCAAAGAGATCGACATCGCTGCTACACTGGAACACATTAGAGACCAACGAGGAGGAAGCGTCAAGTCAAAGGCCCAATTTGAGTTCGTTCTCGAGGCCATTGCCGAGGAGGTTTCGGCCATTCTCAAGACACTTAAGCCCAATTGATGGAGGAGATAAATTGATTACTGTTGGTAGATTTGAACAATCAAAACGGTTCACCTTCATGTTTACCAGATATTCACTGATTATGATTATTATCACCACCACAACAACACCGACATCATCATCCTGATCATCACAATCATTAATAATTCATCAACAGAGTCTTTGGTTAAAGTAAATGTTGGATTTACATTATAACCGATGGTTTAAATCAATCACAATTTCCGGTTTAATTGTCCTGATAATTGTAGAACTGGCTAATTGTGTTTACCGACTAATTGCTTACAATGGAAAATTATCCTTAAAGAAAAGAGGAAGATGAATGTTCATATTGACAGAAAAAAACTAATCAAATCCAATTCCGATTCTACTTCTAATCAGCTGAACGATGTTCATTCATTTATACAGAAATTCATTTGAATTTATTACAATTTTTTCGTTCAATTATCAATTTGATGATGAAAATCTCCGATGATTTAATGTTTAACTTTGTGATTACAGAATCAAAAGATCAAACTACTTGACTCTGTCTATTGGAGACAATCAATAATAACCTCCTGCTGTGATTACGATTAAATCTCATCAAATCTATTGAGAAGATTGGAACTGATTAACTTTGTCTTTGTTAATTAGTGACAATCAACTGAATCTTGTTTCTTTGTGAACAATATTTATAAATGGTCCCTCACGCAGAGGCAATGAAATTGTTGAGAAACTCAGAGTTTGTTTTGTAAACATATTTACCTTTGTTTACCTTTAGCTTTTTGTCTGTGATTTTCAATTGTTTTTCCTCTTGTTTTTGTAAATTAATTTAATCTATTGGAAATTTTGTTGTTTTAATTGTGTTGATTAAAATGCCAAATATAAAAGTGTTTAGCGGTTCATCTCATCCTGATTTGGCTCAGAAAATTGGAGAACGACTTGGAATTAATTCTGGTAAAACTGTTCTAAAGAAATTCAGTAACCAAGAAACTTCGGTTGAAATTGGTGAAAGTGTTCGAGGTGAAGATGTTTACATAATACAATCGGGTTGTGGTGAAGTAAATGATCACCTAATGGAACTTTTAATCATGATTAATGCCTGTAAATTTGCATCAGCTGCTAGAGTTACGGCTATTCTACCATGTTTTCCTTATGCTCGACAAGATAAAAAGGATAAATCTCGAGCCCCAATTAGTGCTAAATTAGTGGCCAACATGCTTTCAGTGGCTGGAGCAGATCACATAATCACCATGGATCTTCATGCAAGCCAAATTCAAGGATTCTTTGATATTCCTGTGGACAATTTATATGCTGAACCAGCGGTATTAAAATGGATCAGAGAAAACATTCCCGATTGGAAACAATGTGTAATCGGTTAGATTTACTTTTCTTTTCTTTCCTTTTCTTTCCTTTCCTTTGCATTTCTTTATTTTTCATGACTCTTATTATGATTCTTATTATCTTGATTCTAATTGTTATTCTAATTTGATTTCAGTCTCTCCTGATGCTGGTGGAGCAAAACGAGTTACATCAATTGCCGATAGACTAAATGTGGATTTCGCTTTGATCCACAAGGAAAGGAAAAAGGCCAATGAGGTCGCTTCCATGACCCTTGTAGGTGATGTCAAGGATAGAACAGCCATTTTGGTTGATGACATGGCCGATACTTGTGGGACCATTTGCCAAGCAGCTCAAAAGTTAAGAGAAGCTCAAGCGTCTAAAGTTTATGCGATCTTGACCCATGGGATTTTCAGTGGTCCTGCGCTACCAAGAATTAATTCAGCTTCATTTGAATCTTTAGTTGTTACTAATACCATTCCACAAGAAGAGAATATGAAAAGATGCTCAAAAATTCAGGTACCACATTTTCTTTTCTTTTCTTCTCTTTATCTTGTTTTCTCAATGACATTGAGATATTCCATCTCATCTTAGTGATAATCATTGAGCAAAAAAGAGAGATAATCACTATGAAGATCCCTCCGATTCTTATTCTGATTAATTCAATTAACATCATCTTTATCTTTCTATTTCTATTTCTATTTATATAATATTCTAGTGTATCGACGTTAGCATGATCCTTGCCGAAGCCATCAGGAGAACCCACAATGGTGAATCTGTCTCTTATCTGTTCAGTCATGTTCCCATGTGAGATGATATTATTAAAGAAATTGTGTTAAAATCACCAATCAAATTAGATTGACAATCGAGAAATCAAATCGAAATATATTATCATCTTAATATTGTAATAATAATAAAGAGAAAACAACAATCAATTCAAATTTGATCAACAACACAAACCAAATTCTCGTTTTATTAATACAAAGTTAATCAATTAATCAAAAATCTATTTTGACCTTGATTTTAATTGCACGAATCATGATCAACAATAATAATCTAATTGTATCTCTTGCAAATTAAGGAAACTGAAACTTTTTTCCGCTTCCAATCAATGAAATCAATTGTATAATCCAATCAAATTAAAAAACTTTATCAGCAAATTTAATTATCTACTTCAAGTTACCTTTGAAAGTTACAATTAGTCAAACAATCAAATTGATTATTTCAAATTATAATCAATGTTTACCTCTAATCAATTAAATTTCCAACTTGATAACCTTTGTGATGATCATTGAAAACTGATTACAATCATTTAATTGTTATAATAAATGTCTACCCAATAGTTTCATCTCAGTGTCAAATCAATACATTTAATGTTCAACTGTTAATTGTGATTTAATTAGTATATTTTTCACTGTCACCTTAATGTTAACTCATTAATCTCAAAGGTAATTGTTCAAATATCCTAATTATAAATTGTTTCTTAATCCGGTTACATCGTTTTTCAGTTAATTGTTCAACTGTCCTCATTTACATGTCAACTTAATCATTAACATCATCATCATTGTCTTAATTAATATAATTAAGGAATAACCTTAATTGTTTTTTCCTCTGTTGAATCTAATTTCCGTTCTTTTTTTTTGTAATTGACCATTGATTGTAACGATTATCTCACTCAGGTAACAATTAACTTGAACAATTTAACATTAATCATGAAAAAAAACCATTTCCCCAATAAAAGTTAAACCATAAATTGGTAATAATAATTATTGATTTGATTCCCTGAAGATGATTAAAGGTAAATGTTGACAATTGTAATTGTTAAATTGTTACTTAAATTGCTAAATCATGATCATCAGTAAACAATTAACCAATAAAATAATAATAATGACTCATTTTGATGATTATGATAAATGATCAGAAAACAAAATTAACTTTCACTCAGTTGATAAAAAGCCTTAAGGTTAGAATCAATTTTTTCATTAATCGATAATCAATAAGATAATCACATTGTTTTACCAACAATTAACAACAATTAACATTGATTTTAAGGTTTGGCCAATCTAATTGATTGTGTAAACATTAATTTATTTTAAAAGTTGCTAAATTTAACATAATATTGTTTTCGTTACCTGATACAATTAACTTGTAATTGCCAACATTTACCATTGATATCAAGTGAATTAAATATTAGTTATGCTGTTGGTTAAAACTAATTATCATGACTCATACAACTTAAGGGTATAAATTAACAATAACAATTAACAGAATATGAAATTTAATAATCATCTTGGTAACAATTTACTCTGATTCTTTTTCTTATTTCTCTTTTCACCCTGTAATTCATTTCCATTTAATCATGTTAACTCTTCTCTTAATTAACCCTTTTCCTTTTCTTTCCATCATCATCATGATTCTCATGAGCCCCATAACCAAGATGCGAATCATTTTATTTGTCAGAATCAAATTTACCTTCAATCAGGTAACATGAACACACAATTGAAATAGTTATCATTTCAATCAGTTGCTCATCAGAATATTATTACATGAGAACCGAAAAACTTATTGTTACTCATTGAAAAAGTTCCTAGTTGATTATTGTTGTTGTTTGATTTCCATCTTCATGTTTACTTCCTATTAACTATTTTCTTTGCTACTTCCATCATCTTCATCATCATCATCATCTTCTTCTTCTTCTGTTATTATCACCAGAATTTTGAGAAAAAGAATTGAGTAAGTCTGCGCATTGAACTTTTCTTCATCTTCTTTTTTATCATCTTTCTCCTTCTTCCATCCTTTTCCCTAGGAATTGGATCGATTTCCTGTTACAATTCAGTCTCTTTTTCCCTGAGTGTCTGTGTAGATTTACCCTGGAGTCTTGTTATCCACAACATCCTAGCATTTTCACCCTCGTTCATCTTGTTGTTTTCCTCTCCTTCCTAGTGTTTCTCCCTCCTCTCCCCTTACTCTATGCATGTATGTCCTCCTCCATCTCCTCCACCACCACCTCCTTATCCCTCCCACTGCAATTCATTGAGTCAATTTTTTAATCAATTTTTACAATTTACTAAAATCACAATCAAATATCATTTCTTTTCTACACCAAACACTTTTACTTCCTCCTTCCATGTTTGTTGAAAGTGATATTTTCAATCTAAACCTCATGTAGATAAATGCTCATAAACGATAACTTTAAAATTTAAGTTCTAATGTTGATCTAATTCGTGTTTACAATTGTTTCTTACTTTAATGATCCAATCGACATTATTTCCATTAATTCTTGTCATCAATTGGTTTATCTACTTTTTCCCAGGGTTGCCCTAGTTTGGAATCAAAATTGAACTTTTTTTTTGATAATATATTCATTCATTAATATCACTTGGATACAAAATTCTGGTTCAATACTCATCTCAACACTCACACTCACACACTTACACATTGATTGCCTTGTTTGCTTATATTGATTGTTGACATAAACACTTAACCAGTTTTCTGATTTTTTCAATGTTACCCAAAAGGTAATTACTACTAAATCAGTCTACTGGTCAACTGGAATTACATCAACACCAATTGATTATTGCTCCATTTTTAATTCAAGTTATTGGTAAAAAGAGATATTGAAAGTGACCATTGATTTGGTAGGAACAATAAACACCATCAATAAAGTGATTGATTGGAGTTGCTTTTTTTATAATATTTCGATTTGATTGTAATACCTAAAAATAGAAATCAAATCAGTGATCAACTAATCAACCATGACCGTAACTTATTCACTGAATGTGGCCAATACAAGACTCAGCGGGTTCGCTAAATTGTTACTTCGTTGGAGAGGATCAATTTATAAACTACTCTATCGGGAGATGATTATTTTCTGTGTCTTCTATTACAGTCTAAGTCTCCTTTACCGTTACCTATTAGATCCAGACCAGCGAAGGTAAGAAGTTAATCATCTAATTAACTATACAATTAAAATTATCCTACCAAATTTAGTTGTTAATCTTAATCCTTTTCTCATCCTGTAACCACCAACATCTCTGAATAGCGTTTTGAACATAACAAAAAAAAATCAAATCTATCAAAAAATTGGATCCAAGCCAATTAATCATATTCACTTATCAAGTTTCACACTATTAAACCACAACAATCAACTCATTGGAAAGTAATTTATTAATTCTCATTAGTTGATTGAATTGATTTGATATTTACGATGAAACTTAATCACCATCAGAATTGTAATTTTAATAATTGGCGGGTAAAAAACATAAACAACACTTGATACGCAGTCGTAACTTAATTTGGGTTAACTAAATTGTTCAATTGTGCCCAGTTAATTGTTGATCATTTCATGATGATTTAATTAATTTCGTTAGTAATTGAATGTTTGTCATGAAGAATAAGAAAATTTAATCACAATCAGTTTAGTCTAAGGTTAATCAAAGTTAATGATCTTTTCTTGGAGTTGATTGATTTTTCTTTTGAAGGATTAATATGAATGAATTAGTAAACAAACAATTGGAATCAAGTGATTAAAACTAATCCTTAATTATAATCCAAAAGGGTAAAAATTTGGCAGAGATTGAGAAAAATTAACCAAAACATGAATTGTAATTTTAAACCATTCGGAAAATTAAATTGTTACAATCGATCGATCGATAATAATAATAATAGTTATCTATTATTTGATAAACTAGATCAACATTAAATTAATGACTTGTCTCAATAACCTAGAATCATAATGACTATGGCTACCTGATAATATTCAGTTAGCATTCACCTTATGATTAACCTAATTATCTTCAGGTAACTTAATTGGAAATGATTAATAACCAGTAATATGAAAATATTACTTGACCAATTGACCACCAAACACTTAATTGTTACAACTTTTTGCACTTTGATTTGATTGATTGGTCAATGAAAGTCTAATATTGACACTTAAGTAACTCAGGAAATTCATGTACTTTTGCTGATCAAATGTTCATATGAGATTATTAATTGATAGCAAAATAAATTGTCACAATTTAGATGATTAACTATTCTGAAAATTGATCAGATCAAACTAAGTTGATTAGGTTAAAATGGTAGATTTAATTAACAGTTTCTAAGATGTTATTTGGTGATAAGATTTGTATCACTCTATGTGTGTTACTATGTAATTAAACAATTTACTTCCAGGGTTAGTTAACATTGACAAATAATTGGAATCAATTCAATGATTATCTCGTTTGATTGATTAACCCTCAAGGTTAATGAAATGAGTGCCAAGGGCACGAAAAAAAGTAAATATAAGTCAAATATCACCGAAAATGAATTTCTCCCCCTTGTAAATTTGCTCTTTATTTTTAGATAATCTATTAAGAATCCTCATAGACAGAGATAAAGATTTCTGTTGATACAATCAGCTGATCAACTAATTATAACAACATTGTTGACATAAATTACAATTTAAGCTCATTAATCATAATCATTGTCGATTGAAGTTTTTGATAATAATAAAATAACCGAGAGAATCAGCTGATGTTCATGAAAACATTGCCCTGAACAAATTCAAGTTCATTCCTTTTCCAATTTGGGTTATGATTTTAATTACTAATTACAGTTTATTGATTTACTTAATTACAGAGTATTTGAAAAAGTTGCCTTATATTGTGAAGCCTTTTCCAAGTTGATTCCTTTATCATTCATACTTGGATTTTATGTTTCAATTGTGGTCAGTCGTTGGTGGAATCAGTATAATGCTATTCCATGGCCTGATAAGTAAGTAATCAGTTAATTGTCATGATATTCCCAATATCTCATTCTGATTTCAAGTTCATTGTCCAGTTGAATTACTCTAATCATTATTGTTTCAACCACAAACAGAGTGATAGAAGATATTAAATGTTACCTGTGAAACTTTTCCTATTGGATGATTTGTTCATTTTCATGTTAATATTTTATTGATGTGAAAAAAACATGATATTTAATAGCTTATCATTCAGACCATGAAAAAAGTAACTCAATTTCCACCATGATTAATATTTCTACTGAGAGTAACAGAGATAATTATTACATAGGAATATATTCAAATTTGAAATACTGAGGGGATAATATCCAGATCTTTTAGTTGATGAGTCAAATTTTGAGGTCATTCAATCGTTATTATTGATTAATAATTTTCTATTCTTTCTCTTTGATTGATATTCATTTTCAGTCTTCTCATGATGATCACTGGAACTGTTCTTGGTGACGATGAACGAGGCCGACTAATCAGACGGACCCTTGCTCGTTACCTGTTAATCCTTCAAGCGGTCACTTTTCAAGCGATAAGTATATCGGTTAAGCGCCGATTCCCGACAATAGACCATCTCGTCGAAGCGGGTATTATGACTAAAGAGGAAAAACTTGCCTACAACGATATCCCTGGTGTCTATGGTAAATGGTGGGCACCCGCTACCTGGTTTACCACTTTGGCCATTAGATCAAGACGAGAAGGTCGTATAAAAGATGACACCATGTTGAAGCATTTACTTCAAGAATTGTACAAATTTCGAGGAGGTTGTGGTGACCTATTCGCTTTCGATTGGATTTCAATTCCACTAGTTTATACTCAAGCAGTGACCATTGCCGTTTACACTTATTTTGCTGCCGTTATCATGGCTCGACAATATCTTGACCCTAGTCAAGGTTATTCTGGACACGAGGTTGACCTTTACATTCCAGTTTTTACTTTACTTGAATTTTTCTTCTTCATGGGCTGGCTCAAAGTTGCCGAGCAACTGATTAACCCTTTCGGTGAAGATGATGACGATTTTGAACTTAATTACATTCTCGATCGTAACCTGGTTGTTTCCATGTATGTAGTTGATCAAATGCACAATCAACTACCCAAACTTACCAAGGATAATTATTGGGATGACCTAAGACCTTCATTACCTTATACCAAATCATCAGTTGGTTTAAGATCTCAACCTTATCTTGGGTCAGCAATGAATCTTGATATTCATCCAGAAGACTCAGAATTTATTCCTCCTTCACTGGAAACCATCATGGAAGATGATTTAATCTCTGAAACTCATACTCACCATCGATTCAATCAACATGGTAACAGTGATTTGGCTTCTCCCTCAGTTGCTGAGCAATTAGTTAATTTTGATTACAATACAAATGCTTGTGATGTCTCTCTGGGCATCGGAAGTCGACCTCAATCAAGTGTCTCTCAAAGTGCCTTAAATTCAATACATGATTCGTTTCTTGGCTCTCGAATCATGAACATGATACTTGGAAGTTCAAACGAAAATATTACATCACAGCAACATGGTAACATTAAAAGTTCCAAAGATAAATTATCCGGCAAAGGTGAAAGTGGAGGCGGATTTTCCAGTGCCTTGGGACAGTTTTCCTTGAAATCACCTCGAAGACGAACCAGAAAAATTTCAATTCCAAATAATCTAAAGCCCTCAATTTCATCTTCATTAATAAGTAAAACTTCAATGGAAGATTTTGATCGTAAAATGGGCTCCGTTTCACCCAACACTGGTCGTCATCGAAATGTTCTCAATGGTCTATATGGTAATGACACTTCATCATCAACTTCATCATTCTCTCGTCACCATCCTAATCATCCTCACCATGCTCATGGTAATTCACATAATTATCCGGATGAACGTCGATCTCTTGTCATTGATCTGGATGAAAGTACAAATCTTGATACACCGAAACTTTATTCACAAACTCATCTTGGATCATCACAATTATCAAGAGCTTTCAGTGGTTCTATTGATGAAACTGGATTAGGATTAAGTTATCCACCTTCTCGAGCCGAGATACAATCAGCTGGACCTGGATCTCTAATTGAAGTCAAATTGATTCAAATGTTAACGAAGATTCAACAGCCTCTCATAGTCACAGTGAGTCGATCACCCAAAGTTCATCTCGTCCATTATTTTATATTCCTGAATAATTATTGAATTTTATTTTCTAGTTCCATAAATTAATTTTCCACACATTTTGATAAACCAAATATTAACTCAAGAGCTTAACCAAATTTTAATTGTTCCAAGAAAAAAAAAGATCTCTAATACCTAATTTTATTTTCTACTAAGAAAACATAATAAATTGTAATCAATAATTTGATTATTTACTTAACCATTTCATAATTAATTTAACTTTTGTCTCCTTTTTTCTTCCTTTGTCTTATTAGTTTTCCATAGTTCATCATATAATAATGATGTTGATTCATCGATAATCATGGATGGTATTCGAGGAAGTCCTAGCATTCGAAGTGGTGAAATATTTGGTTCCTCATATTCAGCACTTGGACCATATTCAACGACTCAATTGGGCGAATCTTCAGATATAGATGATGGTATTCCTAATGGTCGATGCAGTGTCCCTGGATCCAATGGTCTAAATAGTGCTAATAGTAATAATAATAATCAAAATTCAGTTGAAAATGACGCTGAAGAATCACCTGATCATTCTGGTGAATCAGAAACCTTTGACCACTCATCATCCCATGAAAGTCTGGGTCCCTATGGAAGTAATCAAAGTACCGTTACAAGTATCACTCAACTTTTGGGTAAAAGTAACAAGGAACACAAATAACCTGATCAAAAATGGATAACAATCTTTATGATTAACTAATAATCTTTTAACGATGAACAGAATCTCTCAATTGTCACAAACTTATGGACCAATTTATTATCAGAATCATTTTTTTTCTGGGAAATTAAATATCACTCATGAAAAATTTACATACATACTTATTGATACAATTCACTGGAATTTAATTGCTACTACTTATACATATATACTAATTATGATACTTAAATCATGACTTAAATACACTTGCAATTTATTTCGATACTTTAATCAACACAAACAACACAATCCAATTACCCAACTATCATCACCACTACTCTTGTATGTAATTCAATATACATTATGTATATTATGAATAATCAATGTAAAGTTTCAATAATGTTCATGTTATCAATTGAATAATCATTATCATTGTAAATTTGTAAGATTCAAATGGATTGCAATTAATGGATTAATAATCAACATGATCAATCTTTACTTTGGATATCAAACAAAAAATTTAATTAATCAAATTTGATCGAACAACCTGATTGTGATAACCAATGTAACTGAAAATTTCCTTAATTGTAAATCATCCGAAAGCTAAAATCTTATTATTACATGAGATTCATTTTTCACTTTGATACGAGAAAATTATTATTATCACACAATTAATACGATTCACGTTTTTTGATGCAAACATTGAGAAAGAACCTGATGTGCTACAGAGACACCGAGACCCTTATTCGAAAGCTTTTCAAATTCCGCACCAACAAAAAATAGAACGATTGTTGTAAAGGTCGAGGGTCAAAAGTTAAAATTTTTTCAAATTTTCTCTTTCTTTTCTCTTTCTTTTGACTTTTGCTTCTTTTCGTATCCTTCAAATATTAGTATTGTTTAACAGTTGCATTGTTGTTAAAAATGATTTTAAAGAGAGAGAGAGAGAGAGAGAGAGAGAGAGAGAGAGAGAGAGAGAGAGAGAAATAGCCGCGTAAACGTCCACGGAAACGACCTGGTCTGCGACATACGATCGTATGGGAACCAGGAACGCATTCGTGAAGTTTAGATAGCAAATGGCGGGGCTTAGCCTTGCATATACGAAGCTAACAATATTGTATAAGCTTAGCGATCATGTTGATCGCTCGCTCCCTTGTTATTATTATCAAGAGTCAATTGTAAAAATGATACTTTCACTAATCACAAATAAATTTCATTGGATTCAATTACGATTAAGCCAAACTAATGGTGATTTTGCGAAAATTGTATTAATGCCGATGGGAATCTTATTTCATTGTAATTATTTTATCGATAAATTTAAACAGTATGATTTTTTAATCATCCATCAAATACTTTGCTTGTTACCAAAATTCACTAGTTTTTGAGCTTACAATACTTTTTTTTCTGGTAAATCAAAAGTAAAATTATCTTAAAAATCAAACTGTTTGATTGATGTTGATCAATATTGCAACAAGAGACAAATAATATACAAAATGTATTGGTCATTTTGTCGTAAATTCAAGAAAATATGAATACTGTCCAGGCGATTAATGTCTTGGTCTTACATGTGTAATTTAACTTTTCTGCCTTTAATTTATTGTGATTAGAATCGAATCATTATAATGGCTATTAGACTAATAGTAATCTTGAAAAATTATTTCACCTCTTCTGAGCCCACGAATATTATTTCAAAGTCAATTCTAGAAAAAGGGTTAATCTACCGATTAATTCATCTAATTCTATCATTTGGATTATTCGTTAGAGGAGCAAATGGAATATACCATTGTATTCTAAGCATCTTTGTGAAAAATATTAAAAATGCTAAAATTTACCAGATACTAACCGGCTCACTCTTTTCGTTTGTTATAGGAATTTCATGTATTCTCCTGTTATTATATCCAAAAAATTACCGAAAGTTTCACGATTATCAACAGAGTTTGGTTATTGATCATAAAGAGATTGCGAATATGTACATAAGTGCGGAGAAACGAAAAATGTTTTGGTTCATTCTATCATATATAATCTCTGCATTTACACAAGATCTTACTATGAAGAAAGAATTTTTTCCGGTTCAGATTGGGAACTATCAAACGCTTTCAAAAGTTTCGTTTTATTTGATGGCGGCAGTACCAAGATTTGGCTTCATCAACTACCTTTATTTTATAGTAGAAAACTGTATCACCTTAGAGTCAATTTTCGAGGTAATATAGTGAAGGACAAATTAAATTGCTGATCGATTTTTTTTGAAAATCAGCGATTTTGTGTCGATTTAAGTTGATTTAATTGACAATAGAGTTTATAAAAAGGACATATCGATTAAAATATGCCCAAAAAATTTCCAAATTATTAATTGTTTTAGATAATTGGCTAATTATCAAAATCAGGGGGGACAAATTATTTTGCTGATTTGAAATTGATAAAAATTCAAGCAATTTGATGATTTGATTGTTAATTATATTGATTGCTTGTATAATTACAATCAATTTAAAACCATTTTGATCAAAATCGGACGAAATAAAAAGTTCTACCCGGTTGAATTTAACATGGGGCTCTATGGGCAATGACGGGTTTTGGCCTGTTACTCAGAGACGGTTCAGGTCGGTATCATGAAAATTCATGTACTTATAGTCTTTTTAGTCGCTATGATCGCTATGAGTCGTCCATGATAATCTTATTTCTCCATGTAAATTTCCTATTCGAAGAGCGATTTTATCAAAATCTTCCGTTCTTAACATAGTGGGGGTAAGAATAGTGATAATATTATGATTCTATTAATGATTTATTGTTAGCGACTAAAAAGACTATAAGTACATGAATTTTCATGATACCGACCTGAACCGTCTCTGAGTAACAGGCCAAAACCCGTCATTGCCCATAGAGCCCCATGTTAAATTCAACCGGGTAGAACTTTTTTATTTCTTGTCCGATTTTGATCAAAATGGTTTTAAATTGATTGTAATTATACAAGCAATCAATATAATTAACAATCAAATCATCAAATTGCTTGAATTTTTATCAATTTCAAATCAGCAAAATAATTTGTCCCCCCTGATTTTGATAATTAGCCAATTATCTAAAACAATTAATAATTTGGAAATTTTTTGGGCATATTTTAATCGATATGTCCTTTTTATAAACTCTATTGTCAATTAAATCAACTTAAATCGACACAAAATCGCTGATTTTCAAAAAAAATCGATCAGCAATTTAATTTGTCCCCCACCATAAGTTACCAACTAAATGGGTTGATTGCTAGTAAGTTGGAAAATCCGAGGCTCCAATATAATGCAATTAAAACAATTCGATTAACTTACCTGAAATCGATAGAAACGGTGACCATTATTGATGAAACTATGACCGTTATGATAATGGCCTTCTACTTATCCGCTATGTGCAATTGTTTACTCATATTTCGTATCATGTTCTCTTATGCACAAATGGGCCATAGACTAACTTTTGTTCTTGCCAATTTCATTAAACATTTGTCTTTTATTTCTATGATTACCTATTATCTTATTCGTGTCAATCGATCGGCTGTTGGAGTGTTTAAAAGTGTTTATCAGCTTTCATTTGATTCGAAATCGTTAGAATACAATAATGAGGTTCGTTTTAGATTATTGATATTTTAATATTCTCAAAATAATGTTTTTTTATTTTTCTATCTAATTTCAGATAAACTTATTCTTGTTGCGAATAAATCGTCAAGATATTGGCTTATCGTTCGCTCGTTTATTTGTTATAACACCGAATTTCGTCTCATCATTAGCAACGATTTCCTTAACTCTTGGATTAGCATTGGCAACAGCATTCAACTAATCGAAATTATATCAAGTATTAAAATAAAACTAATTGTTTGATGGCTCATGCTAACTAATCATAATATTCAATCTGATCCAAATGTTTAATCAATTGTTTATTTCATATTAAATTGAATGAACCAAACTTTTAAAGATTTCTGGATCAATCTTTACTTTGGATATCAAAATTCATTTAGATTAAGTGACCTTTTTTATTTCATTACTGTATAATACATATATATGTACATATATATTTGTATTTACATTGTGAGAATTTCTTATAAGATTGGTAACTCGAATAACAGTACTTTAATTGTGTATTAGGTTATTAATATTTAAGCAAAAATGATTCGATCAACAAGTGAAGTTGTGAAAAACTGTCTAAAATCATCCGATCCTATGAATTTAATCTCGCACTCGATTCAGGAAAAGGATTAATTTATCGATTAGCACATCTTATTCTCTCACTTGGATTATTGATTAAAGGGTCAATTGGTTAGGACCGTAATAAGCGCACAACTTTAAATTAATTCTCTATTATGCTAAACCAAGTTTGGTTGCAGGTTGAAATCATAATTAGTTTATCGATAAATTTAATCAGTATGAGTTTTGATCATCCGTCAAATTGTCTTATTGTTACCAAAATTCAAAAGTTTCTGAGCTTAAGATGCCGTTTTATTGCAAATCATAAGTCAAATTGTCTTATCAATCAAACAGTTTGATTAATATTGATCAATAACATAATATAAAAATTTTACTTGTTATTTTGCCATGAATTCAAGAAAATGTGACCACTATCTGTGTTTTAAATTGCGATTCAAATTTTAAATCGATTCGTTCAAACATAAAGCTTGAATAATAAAATAAATCTTTTGTCTGCAATCAATTATTAATATCTCATTTGCGCGAGTTGATAAATCAAGAGTTACACTGAATTTATAAACTCAATTTAATTGATATAATTTTAATAGTAAAGGTAAATTTGATATGAACAAGATGAAAGATCAACGTAAAGTTAAGATTAATTCAATTTGATTTAGATTATATATCTTATTTTAAAGATAATAAGAAAAGCAACAATTAAACGGATAATAATTTAAAATGGTTAAGCAACAAACAATTAACTAATTGTTAGACAATTTTGATTAACTTGATTTAGTTAACAATATCCCAAAAATGATTAAATGTAATGATTATAACTAATTACTTTCTCAGAAAGTCAATGTTAAGCTTACATAAGAAATTTACATGATGACTTTCCAAGAAAGTCAACTTGATAATCACAATGATTAGAGTTATTATCAATTGATTTGACTAAATAAGATGATCAATATTAACTTTCCAAGAAAGTGAAGCAAAATCATTATAATCAGAATTGTCTTTTACCAATTCTCCCACTCAATTTGCATTATTAATGATTTTCAATTGATTTCTAAATGTTTCAAATTTTTCTCTGGCCAATGGTTTTGTCAAAATATCGGCGATCATGTTTTCTGTTGAGCAATATTTAACTTCGATTATCTTTTCTCGGACTTTTTCACGAATGAAATGATACTTGACATCAATATGTTTACTTCTCGATTGAGAAACTGGATCTTTGCTAAGAGCAATAGCACATTGATTATCTTCGTTGATTATTATTGGTTTATCAAATTCGAACCCGATCTCAGTAATTAATGATTTTAACCAAATCACTTCCTTTAGACAAACATGAAGGGCAATATATTCGGCTTCAGCCGTTGATAAAGAAACTGTTTCTTGTTTCTTACTTCCCCAACTGATTAGATTTCCAAAGGTGTAAATAGCTGAACCACTAATACTTTTTCTATCGATAATACATGATG